GAAGAGTGGTTACAGCGGATCCCTGGAACAACCTCGTACATCTCGGTCCGGAAATGCGGGGCTAGGAACACCAAAGATACTGCGCAGAACCCTCAAGCTCCCAGGCATCTGGTAGAGGACCTGAGCTTAGAGAGGGATAACCGCCTGCGGAGGGCCAAAGGTGAGTCGACAATATTGTACTTTTTATATACTGTAGATACAAGTGAAATTTAGGTCCAGTCTTCTGAGCTGTTTTTCATTATTCATGTGGAAAATTGTGGCTTGATTGTGCGTCTCAGAGTTGACATGTTTCAGAATACGGTGAGGCTGTCTCCACTTAATTTCAAATAGTAGCGGATGTAGAAACGGTTTATTTTGTTTTTGTACATCTCCCTGAGGAGGCACGCTGCATAACAGTGCTCATTATTAGCAGCCAATGTAAATGTAAGGCGCCAGCTCCTCTTATTGGTCTACGCAGTCTGCTGTTGCAGGCCAGCAAGTGACGCTCCGGGTTAGTAAATTCAGGGGAGATCCACTGATGATGATCTCGAAGAGGACTTTATAATCAGCCTTTTGCTTTGCTGGGTGTGAGAATCAGTGAAACGTCTCCCTGATAAAATAGTCACTATTACATGGAACCTGTATATCTATATACAGTATATATATGTAGAGCTTTGGGCCAAGAGCCAACTTTTGGTCCATCTTGTAAAGACGTTTTTTAGAGGTCTGCCAACGCTAAATGTTAGCATTGGCTAATTCTTCTTCTGGGTCCACCCCCATCGGCCCGGGGTGGTATTGCAAACATGTCAGCGCACGTCATTTTGGCCACTTTTGAGCTGGGACCCGCCCCCACTGGCTCTGACGCGCGTGCCAGGCCAGTCACTGTGTGGACCAGCGCGAGCCTCCGGTAGGACAGTGAACTGTGGGAGTTGGCATTTGGGGAAGATGTTTTGGATAATGTTTGAATGCATTTTGGGATAATGTGATAACGTTTTGAGATAATGTTTTAATGTTTGTCTAATGTTTATTAATTAAATAAATGTTGTGTAGAGCTAATTTTAAAAGAACCAAAACCTTATTTTTGTACGAGGGTATCTCTACCAGGGGCTGGTGCTATGAGACTTGGGTGGCATCTCTGACTGCCACCCCCCCGACCGAGAAATGGATTAAAGGGTAGAAAATTGATGGATGGATGGATGTATCTCTACCTTTAATGTGAATAAATTGAAGAATTTTCATATTTTTGTCTCCTGGTCCGCTCAATCACGGACGTGTGTGTCCTTGTGGGTCTCCCTATTAAAATATAAAGTGGCGTTGCTAAGGTTAAAGAATCAGGTTAAAATCATTAATTGGAGGTACCACTAACTGTTACACGGCCATTACACAAATAACAGCTAATGAACCAATTATGGTTTTTGGAACGAAATGCATACGCAAAGCAATTTGGACATGTGATGTCAGTTTTCTCATCTCTACAAAAACCCACCAAACTGACTGATGAAGCCTGCGAAAGTTCACATTGGTAGACCCGGCCTGCTGCTGCCCAGCTCCTCCAGGCCTGCTCTCATCCTTGGCTCATCGCACAGCAACGCCCTCTTCCAGTCAACCAATAACCGCCAGGCCGGCGTGTCAAAGGCCGGAGACGCCCACTTCCTGGTCTTCCAAGTCTGCATCGTGTATGTCGCTAACGCACCTGTTCGCAATGCATCCTCCGCCGCCCCACCTCCTCCTTCTCTCAATCGAGCGTGCTTGCCTGCTGCCTCTGCCGCCACCAGTGCCTAGGCCCTGGGGGGATCTCTATGCGCCCGAGCAAGCGCCGCGCTCAACAGCACCGCTCCGGGGCCTAGGGCGCCAAACATGCTTTAATAAAATACTTCAAATCGCATCTTTTCGTCATGGGTCTCTCCATTGTGAACCATGATGTGAAGCAGATCAAGTTTGCGGACGACACCTCCCCCATTGGACTCCGCTGAGTCCGCTGACAGGAGGGGTGGTTGTCTGGCTGGTACCTGGTGCAGTGGTAACAACTTGGAGCTGAACACCCAGAAGTCAGTGGAGATAATTGTGGATTTCAGGAAGACCAGAGACTTCCCGCCCAGCCCTCCCTGTTTGTGCTCCCCCATCACCTCTGTGGATTCCTTTCATTTCCTGGGAGAGGGAGATCGACCGCAGCATTCCATCACTGCAGACCCACAGCACTGACCCCTCTCACCCTGCACGTGGACTATTCCAACTATACTCCCCTCAGGCAGGAGGCGTCGGTCCATCCGGACAAGAACCTCCCAGCATAAGAACAGTTTGTTCCCCTCATGAACACTTTAACTTTAACTCATCCCCTCCCCTGCCCTTTATGACATCACTTTATACTACTGTCACTATACTACAGCACTGCTAAATGTCTAACGTGTTTACCTAGTGCACTTTTGTAGTAGTAATATCAAGAAATATTTTGTAGATCTGTTATTGTTTTTATCCATGCTTTATTCTCTTTTACATCATAACTTGCACCAAGAGCAAAAGCAATATCCGAGTTTGTGACTTAATTTGCTCATAATGGCAAAAAAAGAATTTTCGGTTCTAACGAGCCAAATTCCGTATGTACACAGCAAAAAACTTGCTGTATACTGCAGTCAACTCAATGCATAGGGTCTGATTCTGGATCAAGGACATAGGGTTCTACGTGACGGAACACCATTGTTGGAAAAAGTTTTTTTTCTGGTCTTAAATGACTATATACCTCATTTCACCTCTATGCAAGAAATAATTATTATAATTTCAAAGGTTTTGAGTGTTGTTTGGTGTATCAGCCACATTGTTATCAAACACGTGCTTCACCGTATATGAAGTGTCTCCACTCTGGGACGAATGAAGGAATAACTTATCTTAAACGTGCAGAAAGCGATTTTGTTAGCTTAGCCGTAGCACCACCTCGAAACCACTCCCCCCCTCCCTTCGCCTCTCCATCAAACCAAACATCCAGCATGTTCTATTCTTTGTAGGGACTTTTTTCCCAAATATTAAAAAAAAAAAGCGTCTGAAAAAAACATCACTGACTGCATCTTTAATGTTTTTCTAATTATGCAAATGACCATACTTATTTTTATTTATTTCCTTTTATTTAATGATTTTTCATATTGTGCAAAACTGTATATAAATAAATGTCCGCACAGTCAAATCAAATCCATGAACTCAAAAACTGAAGTGACTTTAGCTCCTCAGCTGGAGAAAAGAGGCCATTGCCTTTCAAAGTCTCTGTTTAGAAAGTGATGCAGCGCAATCACTCACTGCCCTCTAGTGGCCAACGCTCCTCAGCACACGTTCCACTCCTTATGTCACTGAACATAATAGTCACATGTGTAGGGTTTGGTGTTTTGTCTCATTAGGCTTCATAACCCTTTACAATACAGGCCAATACATGTTTTTAATATAATATTATATCCATATATCCGAGGAGTTTTTGATAAAAGACAATGTCATTTAATAAAATAGTATGTCCAGTAGGTTATTGTTCACACAGTCTCCTGGTTCTGCTGTTACTTGGGCACGAATCAAAATGAAACACTGATGTCAGAATGCAAACACATTGTTTTGCTTTAAATTGACAAAACTAAATATTGTGTGTTGCTGTTATTTTCTCATTTGTAATTTGAATGATGTGTAATTGTTACAGAAAAGGACCAGTGAAACACTTTGAATACTGGAAGGGGAGCATGCACAGTGGACAAATGCAAAATGTAATTGCGGTCTATTTTAAACCACAATTATGTTGTATGTATGTAAGTATTTTATTGACTAAAAACTATTGTGTGCATACAGTTTGAGCTGAAGAAAAGCTGAAATTTGGGCGGCACGGTGGCTGAGTGGATAGCACTCTTGCCTCACAGCAAGAAGGCCCTGGGTTCGAATCCCGGGCGGACCAGGGCCTTTCTGAGTGGAGTTTGCATGTTCTCCCTGTGTCTGCGTAGGTTTCCTCCGGGGACTCCGGTTTCCCCTACCACTAAAAACATGCACAATAGTTCTGGCATGCGCCTCCTTTTCGGCGACCCCGCTCCCATCTCTGTGTGGAGTGAGTGGACCAATGCCCAAAAATAATAACAATTGTAAACCGCTTTGTGACTCTGGTCTGTGAAAGGCGGTATATAAATAAAGATTACTTACTTAATTACTTACTTAAATTCTGGAGGTAAAATAATGCCCACAATAATTGTAAAGCGCTTTGTGACTCTGGCCTGAGAAAGACGTCATATAAATAAAGATTACTTACTTACTTACGTACACAAACAAACACATACAGTACACGCATATACACACGTGCATCCACACACATTTCACAGATTTCACTCAAATATGTTTATCTAATTATGCCTGAAAATAAAATGTGTTAAATATGTTTGCAAACCTCCACATATCACCTTCTATGTGTCAGATTAAGATTAAGAGATCGTTTTGTCGTCCCACAGTGGGGAAATTTCAAATCTTACAAGTTTTTCAGACCTTTAAGGAAAGAAATAATAATGGTTGACGAATGAAAGTTGAAGATAATGCTAGACATAAACCTATATCACAAAATCACATGTTTCATATTCATATATATGACTGTACAATAACTTACTTTAAGTCACTAATGCACAAGGACGGACAACACTTGCACTGTTATTGCCTCTCTTTCTTGTATTATTGTACATATTTATATCCTGCACAGACACACTTCTGTTTTTTTGCACGATCTGAGTGAGTCTATCCATGCCAGATGTGACATGTACATTTCTCCAGTGTGAGATCAATAAAGTCTTTCTTATCTTATCTTCAAATGTTTCGTCTCCATCAAATCTTTGGAGCAGTTGTTTCAAAAGTGAAAATTAGAGGACCACTCTCAATCAGCCAATCAGCTCTCAGCCTAAAGAGTCAAACAAGACTTTACCTTTACATGGAAAAATTGTGTCATTGATTCATCCCTGTCCCTGTACGAACTCTTATTTCATGAACAAAATCTCCCTCTGTACACATTGCAAATAATGTCGTTACCGGATTTTAGATATCGAATTCATGAAAAACTGTGTGACTTTAACTCGAATCTCTTTTGTTTTCAGTCCATAGATGATCGGATTGAGTGTTGGTGGGAAAATGAGCGTGGACACCCCGATGAACCTGCGGAGGCGAGGGGACATGTTCCTTATCCGATAGGAAATAATGGTGAAGAGGCCTAGACTTTCAAGCAAGAGAAAGACCAAAAGATGAGTGGCACAGGTCTGCAAAGCCTTGGCCTTTGTGTCTGAATGCTTGGACCGAAAACAGGAGATCAAAATCCTCAAGTATGTGAAAAGCACCATCCCGTTGGATAAAACTTGCGACGCGGCTACAGTCAGAAGTCCGTAGATGTTGTTTATCGCCTTATTTCCACACACCAACTCGAGCAAAGACGGGTTGTCGCAGTAAGGTTGAAACACATCGGTCTTACATTGGGGCAAGCGCAGCAACAATCCAATCAGAATACTCATCAGAACAAAAGACCCCAACCACATACACAAGATAATCTTAATCACAGTCACATTGGTCATCACAACATTGTACCTGAGCGGCCAGCAAATAGCAACGTATCTATCGTACGCCATTGACGTGATTATGAACGTGGCACCGCAGGCGTAGATGTGGATGAAAAAGGCCTGGGTGACGCAAGCCGTGTATGAAACGGTCTGACTCTTCCATGCGATCTGTTTGAGAGCTTGGATGAAAAAGGCTGAAGACCCGATGAGGTCGTTGATGGGTAGGTTTATGAGGATGAGGTACAAAGGCTGATGCAGGCTCTTGTTGAGTATAATGGTAAAAATCAAAATGAGGTTGCAGAAAAGGATTATTGCATAGCCCAAACTGGCGAATATAAAGGCTGGGATGATACTGGCGGGTGGGAGGTTATAGCTGAGGAGGATCACATGGGGCGAGATGTTGTAGGTACCGTTCATGGTGAGGATCTCAGGTTATTTCAGTCAATCTGAAGAAACATATTTGAGAAAGACCAGTCAACCAAGAGCACATTGTCACATTTTCAGATTGAACACACAAGCTGCAATCATGATGTAGTTAGATAATACTCAAGCATAGACATACATATTATAGCTACATACAAGAGAGCAGATGATTGGTCAACAAGAGTGAGAGAAGGGGATAGAAGAGAATGTGGCGGGGGTCACACATGCAGGAGTGACACACTGTGCTGGAGACATGAGGTTTTTATAGGCGTCTCTGAGTCGCTGTAGCTCCTATTAGTCCTCTGGGTGCTTCAAACGTGGAACACAGCAGTTGTCTCATGAGGACGTCATGTCAACTTGCTTTTATGAGTCGTCCCATATGGAATATAAAGGTGAAACTTGGAAATATTGTATTATTTTTCAAAAGTCCATTTAGTTTTGTATATCCACTTTTGATGTGAAACTCATGAGACAGACTTATTACATGCAAACTGACATATGTGATGCCTTTACATGTTATGTTGTACAATAGTTCTCCCAGAATTCTGAAATAACCATAACTCCCAGAACGAGAGCTAGAAATATATTTTGAAACAGCTGTAAGTAAAAAAATATGTTGCCATGGTAACTAGCACTAACTCTGCTTAACTCTGCCCTGGTGGAAAGCCAAGCTGAACCAGGACCAGTCCAGGACCAGGACCTTGGAGAAGGGAGGCTTTAACTGTCATAGAATGTTGGTTTCCAAGCAACCAAAAATGGCAAAATTTGAAACATGAATGGAGAGATAAAACTAAAATTATGAAGACCACAAATGTTCATAAGTCATTAAGCTTCCAAAACTAAAAGTTAATTTGACTGCTCTGGGGGCTCAAGTGAATTTTGTAAAACCTCAAATAAAACATCTGAGACTCTTGAATATTTTGAAAATAGACTCTACGCCATAATCATCAACAGCATTTGTCACTTTGTGTGTTCTGACTCATATATGGATATATTCAAATATACACAATACAATACAATAAAATTTATTTAAGATTTTATAGCCCTAAATCACAACAGAAGTCATCTCAGAGGACTTAACAAAACCATTGAAATCACCAACACAGATCAGAAAATCAACAGTTAACACACAAAAATAATATAGAAGACACGTTGATAAATGTCCATACTGTAGAATGTTAAAGTGTCCTGGATCATCACCACATCCTTTTAGTTTGACACTAACTGCCCAACAGACCCTCCTGCATCGGCAAGGAAAAACTCTTAAGAAAAAAATCCAGTGGGAAAAAAGTGACAAACCTTGGGGAGACCCTTTTTTTTACAGTTTGAGAAAGGGATCCGCTCTCACTGACGGACAGGCTATAGATCCAGGACCTAAGCTATATATGTATATATTCAAATATGTATTGATACGTAGAATCACAGAAGTAACAGAACTGTTCATGGAGGTCACTTTTGTATATCCACATACAGTACAGACCAAAAGTTTGGACACACCTTCTCATTCCAAGAGTTTTCTTTATTTTCATGACAATGCAAATTGTAGATTCACACTGAAGGCATCAAAACTATGAATTAACTCATGAAATCATAAAAAAAGTATGAAAAAACTGAAAATATGTCTTATATTCTAGGTTTTTCAAAGTAGCACCTTTTGCTCTGATTACTGCTTCACACACTCTTGGCATTCTGAGCTTCAAGAAGTATTCACCTGAAATGAAGGAACAGTTCCCAGAATGCTTGGCACTTGATGGCCCTTTCGCCTTCACTCTGTGGTCCAGCTCACCCCAAAACCATTTGGATTGGGTTCAGGTCCGGTGACTGTGGAGGCCCGGGTCACCTGGCCCAGCACCACCACTCTCCTCATTGGTCAAACAGCCCTTACACAGCCTGGTGTGGATCTACAGTCAATAGTCATGAAAAGAAAGGACACCCATTGAATGAGAAAGTGTGCTCAAACTTTTGGTCTGTGCTGTATATTCAATATTAAAACACACAATACATGCAGCTTTATATATTGTCCAGCTTCAGCAGCATTACTATTGTGTTTGGTCAAACTAACCTCTCGCAGCAGGTTGGTGCTTCAGCTGTTCCTGTCTGACCTGGTGGCACTTGTTATCAGGTCACTGATAACATATCAATACTTTTGTGAGTCTCCACAGCAACCAAAGTCTGCAGTCCCCAGATGGGCCAAATACGTACACACAAATACAACAATAAAATGAAAGAGGACTTAGTAACTACTGTAAGTATCTATAATGGTAAAACTGTATTTACATTGGATTATGGACAGAATGTGCATTTTAGGGAGAAGGTGGATAAGACAAATTACAGATAGATACCAAACAACTTAACAGCACTAGAGTTAGGGTTCTGTGTGATGTATGTAGTAACAAGGTAAAAACATATAAAAGACGTAAGGAAAAAAAAAACAGTTTTCACAAATTTGAAGATACACTAAAAGTTATTATTACTGCATAATTACATATCCATCCATCTGATACTTCTGCCACTCACTAGTCACTTTACCTGTTGATATTATTACTACTATAGTACAATATACACATCTGTAAATACTTCTGAACCAAGTGCAACTATTGCTCCAGAGTTTATTTTACTTAATTTTATTATACTCTATTTTGCCATCTTATTATCTTGTTTTAATTATGTTGTCTATTATCTTAAATAATAGACTATTTGATTATTTCCTTCTTTCTCTGCTGTAATGTGCGCAACAATGACACTGAGGGGACGAATAAAGGAATAGCTTATCTTATCTTAAATCATCTTATAGCAGAGTGATTTTTTTCTCATTCTGTCTCTCATAGTTAAGGTATAACCATGATGAAAATTACAGGCCTCCCTCATCTTTTTAAGTGGGAGAACTTGCACAACTGGTGGCTGACAAAATACTTTTATTATTTTATATAATAATAATTCTATTCATAATAATAATAATTACAATGAATTGATCACAAGAATTCACATGATGGACATGTTTCCATCCACACAGCCGTCATTATAAAAGTGATTAACTTTCCAAACTTGTGTTGACATCATGTGTTTGCAGACTGTAATGAGGCGTTCATGGCCCTGTCCACAGCAGGACATTCTACCGTTGTGTTTGTGCTTCACCACATCTTACAGCCACACATTTGGATTGGTTCAAACGGACAAGAAACTGGACAAAGATAGAGTGAATATGGGTGAATGAGTTTGCTGTGTGTGTGTCTGTGTGTGTGTGTGTGTGTGTGTGTGAGCAGCAGATGGTACACATTAGTTGCCTTGCTTTTCTCAATCTGCCTCAGGGCAGTAAATGGCTACAATAGTTAACCATACATCGAAAAACGCACCCTCAAAACACTTTTCTTTGTTATAAAAATGCAACTTGATAATGGATATTTTCTTCAACATTTTCCATGTGAACAAAAAGTGTAGTTGTTTAGAATCAGATGTGACATTTAAACTAAAGAGAAAGAGAGCCATCAACATCCCATAATATTCTACATGAACAGAACGGCATTGAAAGTCCACACTCCTAAGTAACTAAGTAATCTTTTTTTATATAGCGCCTTTCACAGACCAGAGTCAAAGCGGTTTACAATTGTGGGCATTAGTCTCTCACGCTACACAGAGATGAGTGCGGGGCCAGTACAGGAGGCACATCCCAGACCTATTGTACATGTTTTTAGTGGTAGGGGACCTACGCAGACAAGGAGAACATGCAAACCCCACTCAGAAAGGCCCTGTTCCGACCGGGATTTGAACCCAGGACCTTCTTGCTGAGAAGTGCTATCCACTCAGCCACCATGTTGCCCATCTACACCATTCATACATCCTGGCTGTGGATGACAGATATCACTTCACTTTGTCATCTGAATAAAGTTCAACCCAAAGGGTTTGTGGCTGGAATTCCTCCTCTCATTATAGAAGTATGTATATTATATACACATTATATAAGTGAGTATATTACAGGTACTACTAAAATACTCATTGTATGTATTTTATTGCTTGCAGAACTATCTACACAAGTTGAATAAGCAACTTCAACATGACACATTTAGAATTTGGAAAAACACCTCACACAATGCGATGTGTGACACACATACATGTTCCTAATGTTCTGTCACCTGAGCCGTTTACTCACTGACAAGTTCTTTACAGATATTGACATTAACTGAGAAAAAAGTAACACCAAAGTAATTGACTGAGCTCACTGCCTTGACAGTATACTGTACTTTATTCTTATTCACCAAATACGGTTTTCATTCTCCATGAACTAATCCACATATTGTCACATTTTTTATTGTTTCTGTTAAAGAGTGCAAGACAAATATTACATTATTTCATTATTTAAAAAAACAAAACCATGGTCCTTGTGTCTGCATCTGAGATCAGTGTTGTCCTTGCTGATGTTAGTTTAGTCAGACAGCCGTGTGTTGATAGCTTTGCAGTTGTGTCCATCTCCATTCCCAGATGATGGATTAAACACTATCTTTGAGATAGCTATGGGATCTTGCTTGTTTTCAGTGCCTGACTTCAGCCCTCTTACCGTAAACGTCTCAAAACACTGCAAACATTGGAGGTCATGCCCTTTAACCCTCTTTGTTCCTGGGAGGGTAGGTTTTGGGGTCTGGGATGAGGGTTTCCGGACAGCATTGAGTCATCTGTGTAATTATCAGACATGTCTGTTGGCTGTCTCTAATGAAGCGTTCAGTGACCTCAGCTCGGCACGAAATTCTACCGTTGTGTTTGTAGTTTCTCCGTAATAAACTTTTCCTCTCAGGTTTGAGGTGCTTTCTCATTGGTTCGTATGATCATGTAACGGGACTGGCACAAATATAAAAAGGCAGAGCAAGGACAACAATGACACTGAAACCATCCAAGCTTTTCCAGAACCTCGAACAACCACCAGAATCCATCAGCAAAAGTATGTTTTCTTTTATATTTCTCTTGATGCTGTTTATTATTTTTTACCTTGTTAGTTCTTGCTTTGTACTTCTTCACAGTACATCAGTTCAAGGTGATGTCTTTCTTACATAACAGGAGTTAATTTATTCTTGTGTGTTCAGTTTAATCATATTCTCTTATCTCAGACCTTAGCTGCATCTGTGGCCTAACTCACTTCTGGAGATGCACTTTTGCAAGTTGGCTCATGTGAAATTACAATATTCTTTCTATATAGATTTACTGTATTTTTCGACTCTCACATTTAATTAATAGGTTGCTCATTCACACACACACACTGTAGAAATTGTTTACTGCTAGTTATTCAGTCCCCATTTGACGTCTGCACCCAACTTTCTCTTTATATTATAAGACTAACTTTACTGATCCATAAAAGATAATTACTTGGACACATAGCAGCTCCAAAAATACATTATTTAAAAACATATTGGAAAAAAAATAATCTGAGCAATTTTGTTATAAGTTAATTTACCTGCTTGTTTTGAGTTTGTAGTATTACACACATGCAAAACCAACTGTCTCCCTTTTAACCAGCACTTTACTGGGGTTGTTTTTTGCTCAATCCATGCTACTATCCTGGATTTATAGGCCCCAAACTCCTCCATACTGATTCCCTTGACAAAATGCTCTGTGCTGACTCTCCTTTTACCTCTATACCCAGCATCCTCCCACTAGTTTTGTGCAGAGCTCTTTTGACTTCAAACTGCATTCATTACAAGTGAGCGCTGGTGTGAACATGTCTGAACACGTTTTAAACACTTTGCATCTTTAGCTGTAATTCCACCTTCCAACAGCAGATGGGGGTGTTTCACTGAATTGCTTGTGCAGTTTTTACTGGTTCATATAACTTGTATTAGTCCCTCAGTGGGGAAATTTCAATATTATCCTTGTGGAATTATAGGAGATATTACAAGATTAAAAAAAGTACTCAGGTTCTGCACATATCAAACTGGAGCTATTATTTAAGATAATAGATAATGATCAGAATTATCTCTCTCTCGAGTTATAAATGCAGTTGGGTCAAAGTAACTCGAGGAGTATACGGCGTCAGTTTCACATTTATAAATGGTTCATATTGTTCTTAAAGAGCAGAGAATATGACCAGGATAAACAATACTAATTATAGCTGCACTCTGTAGTGAATAATCAATAATATAATATAATAATAAAGTACATCTCATCTCATGCAGCCTTTCAAATGCCAGAGATACAGGTCTCTTTTGCTGTGGGCATTTGTCCGCTCATGCCAGACCTATTGTAGATGTTTTTAGTGATGGGGGAAACTGGATCACCTGGAGGAGACCTACACAGACATGGGAAGAACATGCAAACTCCATGCAGAAAGGCCCTGTCTGGAGGTGGATTCCAATCCAGGACCTTCTTGCTGTGAATCACATGTGCTAACCACTGCCATCCAAATACTAGCAGCATATCCAGTATCCTCCTCATACAGTGCTAAGAAATGAGAAGAACGGTTTTCATAAATATGTTTAAAGAGCTTTAAAAGTTGGTTTAGTTATGCATGTGTTCTTTGAGCCATCGCAGGTCGGCAGTGCTCAGTAGAAATAGAACACATTTGTTGTTGGTTGTTTCTTTTTCATGGCTCATGCTTGTTTCCCTAAAATGTAAATTAAAAATAACTTTGTTTGTCCACAGTGATGACTATTTTTGTAACAGCAGCAAAGGATAGTGGAAGATTATATCGCAGAAAAATTATGCTTCTAGTGTTAGCATGCTCACCTTAACTGTCATTCACCACTTTATTTTGGCAATAAACAAGTGTCCTATAACTACTAAAACTTGATTAAGTCAAAATAATGAGTCAATTCTGACAACAGCCCAACTCTGCCACAGCAAAAACGTCTCCTTGTTTTTGAGAATGTTTGGTCCTGTTGCAGATGCAGTGTGTTCGCGGCTCAGTGCTGTTCCTCTCCCTGCTGCTCTGGGCCCTGTGCTCTGCAGACCAGAGCTCCGAGTCCATGGACCAGGGGCAGGACCTGGACCAGGACTTGGACATGATGACACGTCAGAGACTTCTGCAGAGAGCCCGCAGTGCTGGACTCCTGACGCAGGTGCATATTTACGGTTTCATGTTATAAATGAAAAGGCCCTTCCCCCGCACACAAATCAGTTGTGGCTTTTAGGTCAGTATGTTTAGCTTTAGCTTTTATAAAGATATGTTTCCTCTGGTGTGCAGTTTAAACCTGCCATTAAAACAATACAAAATTAACTTATACATGTATTAATTTAAACAAATAGTGACTCAGGTTGCCCTAGTATGTTTTCTATAAAGAAGAAAGTATGATGTGGTCTGATTTGTTTACAGCATTTAACTTTAACAAGACTGAAAGTAAGATACCCCATCTTTAAATGCTAGTTGTGCCTCCATAGAGTTTAATAAAGAGAAGTATCAGAATATTTTTCCTGAACTCACCAGGACGGTATTGTAGAATTATAACAAAGATTGTGAGAAGTCTAAATATTTGTATAACATTTTTAGCTCTTTCATGATTTTCCATTTGTGTTGTTTCAGCGCGCAGTGGAAGACCTTCTATTAGCTCAAATGTCCCTCCCTGAGCCCAGTGCCCCTAAACCTCTTGTTCCAAAGGGGTCCGATGGCCATGTGACCCTCCAGCGCTCAGTGGAGGGCAACAACAACCTGCCTCCACGCAAGGAAGGATGTAAGAACTTCTTCTGGAAGGGCAAAACGGCCTGCTAGGAGCGCCGTCCACACCGGCTCACTCCACCATAACCAATAAAGACATGTATTGACAAATGGTTGAATGACTCACCTTCACCTACTCAATGTCAGTAACTGTTTTAGAGATATCTTCACTTATAGTAGTTTAGGAAGATTCATCTTGTCTTCTTAGTATTGGGTTCTTCTGTACCAGACAATAAAAGGTTTTGTGATGTTTTTACCTTGACATGTTTCGACGGATTCTTCCGTTTTCCTCAGAAGCGTCTTGCGACGTCACACATGACGTGCCTTTATCAGACGCTGGTCGGCTGCTCCTAGGAACAGCAGCTGATAAAGGCCTGTCATGTGTGACGTCACCAGACGCTTCTGAGGAAGACGGAAGTCTCCGTCTGTTCTCAAACTGCATTACAGTCACTTCCATAATATGGAGTAATTTATGACCAGAAACTCATGCTATTCCACGGAAAGATGAAGTCATATTTGCGGCCAGTATCAAATTTACTTTACTTTAATATTACTTTACTTTAATATTTAAGTAATTGTTTGCGACAGTGTCATATGTGGGCCTCTTAAAGCTGGGGTTCCTAACATTTAAACCACTATAAATTGGAACTACGTAACACAATCCATCTCTTAGCTCTAAAACAATTTATATCATTAGTTGTCACTTAATTTTAGATTAAATTTTCCAGACAGAAGTGAAAAAGAGAAGACCACCCTCAAACAGCCAATCGGCTCTCAGCCCAAAGCACCAAATTGTGACTACCAATATGTACAGAACCAACGGCTTATTTCTGGTGGAGAAGTTAGTTCCTCCAGCTTTAAGTTCTGCTCTACGATTAATGACACAAATAGGACTATCATCAATATTTACAACTGACACTCACAATAAATTACCAAAGATTATTGTGATTTTTGTTTCATTTAATGTTATCTTTTTGGCATATGCGTAAATGCTGACATTTCACTTATTTCTTTTCTCAAAGGGTTAACGGATACTAGATATTTAAAGTATTATTTAAGTTATATTTATTGATGTTTTTATGAATATATAAAAAAAATGAAAAACATGAAACATGAATTAAAAAGTAAAAGCAATAAACCATCGACTGTTGTCATTTGTAATGGGATCATCAAGTTGAAAATATGTGTATTATATATTTAACCCACACCGATTTCCTGAATCCTGGTTTTGTGCAGAAGTAGCTCATGTGTGTTTGCATGTTAAAGATACAGTCTGTTTGAACATTTGTATCTACGTTCAAAAAGTGCAAAATATGAAAAATAATATTTATTTCTTGTTTTATTGCTTTAGTTTCCAAATAAATTGAAGGGTTCTTTTTTTTTGAAGAATTAAAAAAGAATTTGAAAAAAAGAACAAGCAGAAGAAACCACCACACTAAACTAAATTGAGAGAAAAACACAACAAAAGGGGTTTTCTTAAAGCTTGGAAACCTAACTTACCAAAGTAGAATCCATGTCATATTTTCTCAATCACAAAAAAGTTTGGTTATGTCACTAGTTTTCCCAGATAGTTTTATTTTTACATACTGTAAAAGTACTGTACTGTACCTGGTAATGGTGTTACTTATGGGTTACTTTTACTCATTACTTTTGAACCCAATCATCTGTACTTTTTACTCCTCATTAGAAATAATTCACACAGCTTTGTCTCAGCAGCGGAAATGTTTTATTAATGGACTTGACATTGACCTTTTCAACATTTCAGTGAAGTCTACATACACAAAACACACTTATTACACATTTTTGAACAGAGCTATAATTAGGTTGGGAAAAAAATACAAAGCACTAGTTAGACCCGCCCATGCTCACCCACACTGCTTCCTGATTGGGTGAAAAAAATTAAAATCCTTGAGGCCTTCTCCCACAAAAATTCTTACTGTGGTGGTTGTGCTAATGATATGAACTGTTTTAAATATATAGTTTGCTGAATATGACTTGTCTCTTGGTCAGAAATAAGAAATAATCTACAAAATATAATACAAATAAATTGGCTGCTGCTAATATTTAAGAATTTGTTTGCAACAGTGTAACATTTAAACCACTATAAATTGGAACTACGTAACACAATCCATCTCTTTGCTCTAAAAACAATTTCTATCATTAATTGTCACATGCAAGTTTTTTTTTGGTATTTTTAGATAAACATTTTTCAGACAGAAGTGAGAAAGAGAAGACCACCCTCAAACAGCCAATCGGCTCTCAGCCCAAAGCCCTTTCTGGGACTGGAAAATTCCCAACATGATTCTATGAAAAATTAACTATTTAAGATTTCCTATTAAAATAGACATGTTTAGTTTTTGTGTGGTTTAGTGGATGTGCGGTAAACAAACAGAGGGCTCTTTACGCCAAGTATATGAGTCAGATCTGTGGAGGTAGGACCAACAACATGATATCACATTAGATTTATATTGTCTACACTCACAAACTAGAGCTTTATTGGCTTAGTTTCCCATACTGGCTTCAGAAAGATTGTAATTTGTGACTGGGTCTTAGTTTAAGGGCCTTTTTTGGTGTTTGGTGTGCGAAAAAAACATAAGTGTAGTCACAAAAGTTGTACACAACAATCTGGCTGTTGTTTCAGGGAATTGAAATTGTGAAATAACAAAGTCAATGCGATAAGTTTTGTGTATGAAAGTGTTGATGAGTAATATATCTGTAAGTGCTTAGGAGCGCTGATGCATCCGTGCATTACTGACTACTACGATTATACGACTATTACAGTAGTATCTTAACAACAACAATAATCTCTAGAGAAAAAATACAATAGACAAACAAAACAGATTTAAGTCTTACTGTGGGGTTAGGGTGTTTAATTCCTGGCCTTTGTCAACCATGGTCTAGTAATGCACTCTTCTCGTGGACATCAGAGCGTCTCATCTGTTGTGAATAAATACAGTTGTGTGAATGTGAAACCTGAGATCAGGACAGGGCGGTGACAATTCACTGCTGCTTCCAGAACTATTTATTTATTTGAAATTTGAATGATAATATTTATAATATAAATAATCCATCCGTCCATCTTCTTCCCCTTTATCCATTTCTGGGTCGGGGAGGTGGCATTTAGAGCTGCACCCAGTTCACTGAACACCAGCCACTCATCCTCCTGCAAGTGGTGAGTCCACAAGGACACAACACAGCAGACATCAGTGGGAGTCGGTGGAGTAGGTTCCATGGTGGGCTCGAACCCACGACCTTCAGGCCCAAAGGCTCTACCAACTGAGCCACTATAGCCCATGATGAGTATGTGTGTGAAATGAAAAGAGATTCAAATAAAAGTCAATGCTTTTATTTAACATTTCATCAAATCAAATGAGTCAGAGGATTTTTTTTTCCAGTTGTACCTTATCAAAGTGATTACAAAAAGAACAAATCATTGAAATAAAAATAGATCCTGACCCAGGAGGATTGTGAGTGTTTACAATGTGTTTAATCCGTCTTCAACATTCTAGTTTCTCAGTCTGTTCTGTTTTCATCTACTTTAAGCTTCCACTTCTTTTTATAACCTATTTACAAAATTCCTCTCAACCAGCAATTACAGTATTTATTCTGTAGAGAAATTTCACATTTTGAAACACGGTCCAATGATCCCAGATACAGAAAATGTTATGTGTGAAATTCTTTCATCTATATTTTTTGTATTATTATTATTTTGTATATTATCATAAAAAAGTTATTTTATTGTATGAATAAAGAAATGTTGGAAACAGGGTTATGCCAAAAAAAACAAAACAAACACATTGACAAATTTTGACAGTGACAGCATTTCAGCATTTAAATTAGTCGACTTTTGATTATGTGAAAATTGTCCTGGGTGTAAGAAACTGTTTTTGATTTAAGACCCACATGTTTTAAATAATAATTCTCACTGTTGAAAACCTCATTTGTACAATGTATAATTGTCATAATAAATATATCAAAGGCATAATTCTGATTCTGACTATTTTCTAACTGTTACTGTTGTTAGAAATCTAGAATGGTTTAACACAAAAACAATTGTCTTATGTGCTTAACATTTGACTTTTATACACAAGAAATCAACAATGATAAATATAAAAAGGATCCTGTGCTGATTTGACATTGATATTATAACAAACTTACATTTCTTGTGTGTTTTAAGACACCGTCTGTCTGTGGGTGAGGGCTCCACACTTGATATATATATATATTTTTTCAGATAAATCAATTCAATTCAATGTATTTTTGTACAGGCCTAAATCACAAGAGAAGTCGCAATCATCAGTACTGTCGATTCACCAACAACAGATCAGCAAATAAAACAGTTCAAACACAGAAAAATGCAATAATAACAAACACATAGGAGCCATTGGACCATAAATGTTAATAACTGTCCATAAATGTTAATAACTGTCCATAAATGTTAATAACTGTCCATAAATGTCCCAGATCATCTTTGTCATTATCGCAATAACATCTTTACTTTCTATTTCTATTTCTGACTTCTACACTATTTGTTCCAAGTGCACAAGGAAAGTTAAAGTATAAACATAAAGCAAATAATTACAAAATGCTTGAACTCAATTGATTTGTCTCGATTTTACAATATTTTCACAGTTTGCAGCAGTTTCTCACCTGAAAAAAGAAATGCTTTAAACTATGGTAAAATAAGACAAGATTTTCCGCTTCCACTTGTTTTAAAACAGTCAAAATGCACCATTCCCCACCGATAATAAACTTATTTTTGACACTTGCATTGACCCTTGTATTTCTAAATCTGCTACTTAACTTTCAACACATGGATATATCCTGACTGTTATAAAAAACACAGATAATTTCATGTTTGTAAATGAAGCCATGTCAAATGAACAATAGCTGCCTTTGCAACACGCTTAATGCAGACTCTACAAAAGCATTTTTCACAACAAGCTCTCAAAGTCATTCAACAGTTTCTGCAAATGAGAGAAAATGACTTGTGAGAATAATGGATCACGCCATGAGTCATTGTCACACAGTACAGAAGAAACTCTGGGAAATAGAATATCTTTCAAAAGTCTATTTAATTCTGTAATTCAACTTAAAATGTGAAACTGATATGTGTAATACTCAGTCCACTTCACATTGCTCATGATATGTGTTTTTATTTCCGATGCTGCCAAAGTGGGACACATAAAGTAGTGTCAGGGATGAAGCAGACAGAGACGGATCGTGGTGCGCCAAACTCTGGAAGTTTCTCTCAAGTTCCAGTGGTTTCCATTGTTTCCTTCTCTCAGACAAAATGGAGTCAGTACACAGTTTATATAGTCATTGTCACGTCACACATCGAAAGACGTACGTGTCACACAGAGACAGTCAAATCATAGTCATAATAATCAGAGTTTTTGTACAGTCCTGCACGTAGGCCATATTGCTATCTAATACTAACAGTAGTCAGAATCTGAATCTGATTATATCAAACCTTTATTATTTTATGTTGATAATTATGGCTCACGGCTTGTGGGAACCCCAATTAAAACATCTTAGAATATTGGTATATTTAAAAAAGGCCTGGCTTGTGTTACTTCCCTGTATTCCCTGTGTGTTATTTCTGTTATCACCTGTCAACAACTACATTACTACATCCAGATGTAATACAAGTTTTATCATTACATTCATGTGCTATCCATAAATATCCTTCACTGTTTTCAGTTGAATCACACAAATATGTGAACTTTGGAACGATAATCGAACTTTCACTTGTACATTCTCAGCATAAAAGACAGTTCCGGCCTATCGCACGTCCGCATCCACCCTGATTTTCAACATCTTCTTGAGAGTGCTGTGGATTTCCTTGGTGTACAGCCCATATACGATGGGGTTCAGCAGCGGCGGCACCACGAAAATCAACATGCCCATTATCTTCTGCAAATCCGCCGACACGTTATGAAACCTATGCGAGAGAATAGTGAACGTGCCCACAATTTCGAACATGACAAAAATGACCATCTGTGCCACGCAGGTGTTGACGGCTTTGATTTTTGTCTCCAGTTTCTTGGATACCAAACATGTGATTAAGATTTTAACATAGGAAAACACTTGCACGGACACGCTGATGGCCTGCATGATCGCCGTGTTGACCAGCCCGATAATATTATTCAAACCTGCGTTGCCGCACGTCAATTTCAAAAGCGAGGGATTATCGCAAAACACGTTCAAAATCACCGACCGGCACTTGGGAAGGCGCGCTTGGAGAGAAAACAGCACCACGTTCAAGAAAAAATCCAACCCCCAAACCAGCGCCATGATACGCAAAGTCAATTTCGGAGTCATGATGGCGGAGTAGCGCAGGGGAACGCATATGGCCACGTAACGGTCGAACGACATGGCGGCCAAGATGAAGAGCATGCCTCCGCCGTACATGTGCAACAGGAAGGCTTGGATGACGCACAGGGGGTAGCTGATTCGGTAGCTCTCGGTGACAATGTCGGAGAGCACTTTGGGCAACATGGCGGAGATGCCGATGAGGTCGTTGAGCGGCAGGCTGAAGAGGATGTAGTACATGGGGGTGTGCAGGTTGCGTTTTAGCACGATTAGAAGCAGCAGAGTGGCATTGCAGAAGAAGCTAAAGAGATAGATGGCGATGCCGAAGAAGAAGATGGGGTATTTGCCACCGTACGGGATGACAAAGTTGTGCAGGGAAAGGTCGAATTGGAAAGAAGAGTTTGCCATGACAGGTTAAAGCGTGAGGGGGTGGGTAAAGGGGGAGGCGATGGGGACGGGCGAGCTGGGAGCACGGAGAGCGCTTTTATCTCTTGCGAACAGGACTGCTCCGTCGTCACTGTCCTCTTCTGGGACCGAGTCAGTTCACAAGCACAACCAAAAGGGATGGATTTCACTCTAACTGTAACTTCAATGTTTTTTGTTGAAGTATAGAATCATTTAATAAAACAAATCAACATAAATGAGCAGCTTAAACTTTGATTCATTTGGTTAAAGTGACAGTACGTACAATCATGTGGAGGAAAATCACACGTATGAATCCAAAGAAACAAAAATGTAAAACTTTTTTTTAAAACACAACGGCCGAGGGAAACTTTTCCACATTTTCTCGTTTCGCAAAAGCCTTGTATAGCTCTCTCATTGGCAAATCTTGTTTAATTTAAAACTATGAGCAAATACTCAAATCAAGGTTAAATTACATACTGTAAGAAGGATTGGCTTTTATTGTATCTTGTTTTACTGTGAATCAAGTACTATAAGACAGTGTTTCCCAAATTTTTTGTAGTCGTGGCACACCTTTTTGGTTGAAAACACTCACATGGCACACCACCAACTGAAACTGATACAAACATGAAACTTTGCAAAATGTCATTCTAATCAAAGTAGATAGTAGATATAGACAAAAAATCCTATCTTCTTGCATTGTTTTCCCATATGATATTGGAATATTTCCCAAGGCACACTATTGTACCACGGCACACTGGTTGAAAAACACTGCTATAAGATATATAACTTTGAAACTGCTTTTCCTCAAAACTTTTTTTTTATTGAGCTGTGGAAGAAAAATGACCGAGGGAAACTTTTCCACAGTGAAAGAAGGATGCGGGTTATGAGATGGAAGCCCGCTCACAGTGAGGATACAAAATATTCATACTTCTCCAGTGCCCTCTACAAAATACACCAACAAAGTGCCTTTATATTGGTCTATTTTTGTGGCTTCAAAGTTACATTCTGTAGATTTTAGGGTAGGACTAGACACCGGGCTGTCAGAGGTAATAAAGTTTGTGTGTGAACTATTCAGATTTCCAAAGCTGTTTGTCATTTCACTTTTTTACCAAGCTTTGATTCAATAGAAAGGTTATCTGTATAGAGTAGAAAGCACACATGAAAAAACAAAAAATTGTCCTCTTCCGTGCTATAGGTTATTGTGATTTTAATTATTTACCACAATGTTGTTCTGAATGATTGATTATACTGATAAAGCTTGAAGTCAAAAGTTTAATTTCAAACAGAGAAAAATCTATATCCCACAATGTACGGTAACTTCTGGTTTTCCCTGTACTTCAGTTTCCGATTTGACCAGTTCCTCGGCCTGAGCTGCACAAGATTGAACTGTCTCCATGAGTTTAATCCTGTTATGCATTTGCTTTGACATTCTTGTTGTGGGCTTTGAACACTGCATGTTTATTTGTGTGTTTTGGTTCGGGCCTGGTCGGGCGACAGTGGCTCAGTTGGTATAGCATTGGCCTTTGAGCCTGAAGGTCGTGGGTTCGAGCCCATGGTAAGACCTACTTCACGACTCCCACTGATGACTGCTGTTGTTGTGTCCTTAGGCAAGACACTTAACCCCACTTTGCCTGAAGCTCCCAGTGAAAGATCTCAGCTCCTGTGGACTCACCACCTGCAGGAGGATCAGTGAGGGGCTGGTGCTCAGGCCTCCTCTCTGACAATGTTTAAAACCAGGTTAAAAACGGTGCTGTTTAGCTGTGCATACAACTGAGGGATTTTATATTTTTATCTTTCGTTTTAATGTTCTGTGATTATTTATGATTTTAATGCTATCTTGTTCAGCACTTTGAGTTGCCTTGTGTATGAATTGTGCTATACAAATAAACTTGCCTTGCCTTGCCTCTGTGTACTGGGTGGCATCTCTGGCTAACCCCCCCCCCCCCCCCCCCCCCCCCAATCCCAGAAATGGACTAAGGGGAAGAAAATGGATGGATGGTTCGGGCCTGGTCTCCAATTCTTTTTTTGGTGTTCATTCATTCAGACATTGGCCTTTGGAATGCCCCTAACCAAATAAAAAATGACAATTAAAACACGTTATGGCTTGGATTAGGTTGGACACATCTTTAACCATAATTGGTGTATATGATAATGAACGCAATAATATTAATACATTTTGTTTCAAATCAGCAATGTAGTATTACAAAAAGGGGAAAGAACAATACATATGAACACATTTTATTCAATCAGGAAACGGCCTGAACATCGATGGGTGACACCAATGCTTGCTTTTGATGAAAAGTTCACTTTAAAGTTCACATTCACTTTAATAGAATATTCACCCATGAAACAAGCAGCTTTGATATAGTAACATAGGGGACCCGCTCACGATTAGGACACACATAAAAAATAATAACAGAAAATCTATTGAAACATTCAAAGCAGTAAACGCAATAGTCTATTCTCTCGTTTAGCAAAAACCTTGTAAAATTCTCTCATTGGCAAATCTTCTCAAATCAAGGTGAAAATACTGTTAGCATGATTGGCTGATATTGTATCGTGTTTTACTGTGAATCAAGTAAGATTTATAACTTTGACCTGCTTTTCCCTAAGTGTCTGAAAAAATAATAATAATAATGTTATTCTGACTCCAAATACACTTATTACAGACCCTAAAATGACGACACTAATTAGTCCTAATTATTATCATGAAACTACAAAAAATGTTACTAAAAATCCATTTTTAATCCAACTCCTCCGTCCCAAAACGTTTTGGTTTTTTTTATTTTCACTTGTATTTTTATCACATCTTTAGATCAGCTATGTTGTGGTCTAGTTTGTTCTCAAAATGTCACTTAAACAATACTTTTTTTGTTTTGGGACCATAGACTGTATATATTAACGGATGTAGTCATGCCTATCTCCGCCGTTCTAACTAATGGGCCAAAAAATGTGCTCTACTGGAGCCATCCAAAATGGCTGCGAGAGGTCCCGCCCACGAGAAAATTGTGAAAAAACGCATCTGCCCATGCGTCAGCCGGCGAGAGCTCCATAATTGAGCCTGTCGTAAATATAATAAACGCATCCATACAATGTCCCACAAGCTTTTAAAACCGCGGTAATCAAACCCCTTCTGAAGAAAACAAACCTGGATCCGGAAATACTTACAAACTACAGACCGATCTTGAACCTCACTTTCATATCTAAAATCCTGGAAAAACGTATAGCTGAGCAGCTTTGCTGCCACCGGCAGAAAAATAATATGTTTGAAGTCTTTCAATCAGGATTCATCATAGACTGAAACGGCACTAGTCAAAGTCACAAATGACTTACTACTAGCTGCTGATAATGGACAAGTGTCAGTGCGGGTCCTACTGGACCTTAGTGCTGCATTTGACACAATAGACCACAGCATTCTACTGCAGAGGCTAGAATGTGATATAGGTCTTAGAGGAACAGCCCTTGGCTGGTTTAAATCCTATTTATCAGATCGGTATCACTTCGTCAACGTAAATCAGAACTCGTCGCCTTATTATGGAGTGGAATTCGGTGTGCCGCAGGGTTCGGTACTCGGACCGATTCTTTTCACTCTCTACATGCTGCCGTTAGGAAACATTATTAAAAAGCATGGAATTAATTTCCACTGCTACTCTACTCGGTCCGAAGCGCCTGCGTGACTCCCTTACTGACCAGATAATCACTCTCGATAATGTCAGTATTATACCCAGTAACACTGTGAGGAATCTTGGAGTCATTTTTGACGAAGAACTCTCTTTCAAGGCTTATATAAGCCAAGCAACTAAAACGTCGTATACTTCCACTTACGGAACATCGCTAAAATCAGGAATTTCCTTCCTAAAAGTGACGCGGAAAAACGTATTCACTCTTTTGTCACCTCAAGACTTGACTACTGTAACGCTTTACTGGCAGCGTGCCCTAAAGCCTCTTTGAAGAGCTTCCAGCTCGTTCAGAATACAGCAGCTAGGATCTTAACAGGTACCAAAAGGAGGGAGCACATAACTCCGGTGTTAAAATCACTCCACTGGCTCCCTGTGGAGTACAGAATAAAGTTTAAAATCCTACTCTTAACATATAAAGCCATAAATGGCTTGGCTCCCTCTTATCTCCAAGACACGTTAGTGTCGTATCAACCAGGTCGAGCGTTGCGCTCACAAAACGCCAGACGTCTGGTGGTCCCTAAGGTCTCAAAGGTCACTGTTGGTGGCAGAGCATTTAGCTACCAAGCTCCTTTACTATGGAATCAGCTTCCCATTTATGTTAAGGAAGCAGATACGGTCTCCACATTCAAGGCCAGGCTTAAAGCACTCTACTTTAATTTAGCATATAATTAGGTAATATATAATATATGGTGTCTATATTATATATATATGCTGTATTATGTTATATATTATACAATATATGTAGTGTGTTGTGTATTGTGTTATGTTGTATATTATGTTATATGTTATACTGTATGTTATGTTGTGTATTATATATAGTATAATATATATACTATATTGGTAACACTTTACATTACGGGCCGGTAAGTCCATGGTACTTACAGTGGTACTTCTAGGTACTTACGGTGGTACTTACGGTGGTACTTACGGTGGTACTTACGGTGGTACTTACGGTGGTACTTACGGTGGTACTTACGGTGGTACTTACGGTGGTACTTACAGTGGTACTTACAGTGGTACTTACAGTGGTACTTACAGTGGTACTTCTAGGTACTTATTGTGGTACTTACAGTGGTACTTCTAGGTACTTATTGTGGTACTTACAGTGGTACTTCTAGGTACTTATTGTGATAATTCTAGATACAGCTGTAACTTAGTAATTCAAGGATACTACAGCATTATTCTTATGTAGTAAATGTGGTACTTCTACATACATACATACAGAGGTCATTTGTAGGATTGTTTGACTATAAAACATAAAACAACATTATGTAAAACAAACGTCTTTATTAATATGGAATAAGTAGCACAGAAAGGACAGTA